GAACTGAGAGTGAATTGTCATTTTGGGATAACTGGTAGCCTGAGACAATAGAGTATACCTATAATCCCAGTGGAAGCTAAGGCAGAAGGATCTCAAGTTCAAGGCTAGCTAGCAAGGCCCTAAGCAACTTAATGATTCCCTGCCTCAAAATAAAAAATAAGAAGAGCTAGGGATGTAGCTCAGTGGTAAAGTGTCCTGGGTTCCATCCCTAGTATCAAACAAAACAAATAAACAAACAAAAACAAAACAACTGGTAGGTTAATTCAGATAAATTTTACTTATTTTTCTTTTTGTTAAGGATCAAAATAGAGGGAACTTCATTAAATGCTGATTAAAACTGGTCTATTTAGAAAATTTGTCTATTTTGTCTCTTCTGATTTCATGGAAGATCAGATTAACAATTCAGTTTTGGTTTGAGAACTTTAGTATGAGTAACTCCAGTTTGCTATTTAGTGTGGTCTGCTTGGACTCAGTGAAGGAACTTTGTCCAAAGAAGCAGGCTCATATAATTTTTGCAGTATTGGGGACTTAACCCAGGCAAGCACACAATCACTAAGTTACATCCCCAACTCTTAATTTTTATTTAACAAACGTAACTCTCAAATAAATATTTATTGAGAAGCTACTTTTGGACCAAGTACTGTGTTGGCAGGGTACTTTATCTACAATGGTGACCCCACACTCACACAAACAAAAAGAAAGTGTGTTAAGTAAAAGAGAAGGGAAATATCTGGAAGACATAGCCAACTCAGAGGTAGGAGGAAGGGGAGGCTAACGAGGGCTTCTTAGAGGTGAACTAAGACCTAAAGAACGAGGAAAAACCAATACAAACAAAGTCAAAAGAGGAAAAATCTAGGCAGAATATGGTTAAGGACTCTATTGTTATTTAAAAGATTTTTATAGAAAGCGCATTTTATCATTCATAGAACTTTTTATCTATCCTTTGACAGATAATTCATAATGTTATCCTTGACCCCCAACCCCTGGACCCAATCTGTAATCAGACTGTTTAACTGATCATTAATAAGTTTTATACTGTCAGTTGCCTCAGTGCAACTACTATTTTGTGCTAAAATTGTTCAACATATTACACACTGGACTATGTACATATAATAAAAAATAAATTTCTTTAGAGGCAGGGTGCTTTCTTATAATTCTGACTGACTATGACATTTAGTAGGATTCTGTGCCAAATGGGAATTTGATGAGTCTATCTCAATGAGGAGAATACTTCCAACCTATCTGGGGGAAAAAAAATCCCACCAAATCTTTAAGGAAACAAATTAAACTACAGCTATAAAAACAAACAAACTGGCTGAGCACAGTAGTGCATGCCTATAACCCCAACTACTTGGAAGGCTGAAGCAAAAGAATTGCAAGTTCAAGGTCAGCGTAACAACCTTAATGAGACCCTGTCTCAAAACAAGAAACAAAAAGAGCTGGGGGTGTAGCTCACTCATAAAAGTGCTTGCCTAGCACACACAAGGTCCCGAGTTCAATCCCCATTACTGTAAACAATCAATCTCTGGCACAGATGTTATTTTAAAGCTTTAACATTATAATTTTTCTGTCTGATTCTCTTTACATGATAAAATACAAAAAGAGAACTGAAAAGAGGAAAGTTTCACTGAAATAAGTAGATATAAAGAAAAAGGCTGAGGGAATGATGAGTTCTCTTTAATTACCAAGAAGGAAATCTGTTTTCAGATGAACAAGTCAATATTATTATGTATCCTTACCTCACTTTAATGAAAGGGTGCAAATGCATCATGTCTTAGAGAGGTTTATCTTGTGTATGTTTGGAAGTTAGCTTGTACTTATCTAAACTTCACATACAATGAAATGCTTTCAGCAGCTCAGCTTTAGTGATAGCTGATTAGAGTCCCAGGAAGTCCCATTAGGAGTTTCACTACTACACAAGTAATGGCAGCTGGTACATTTCTGGTCATGATGCACACTCCTACCATTTTGTGTGACCAGTCAGCCTTTTCCTCCTTAGATTGATTTTTTATAACACTTAAAAATCAATTTTTTGTTGATTTTTTTTTTAACTCAAGGGTGCTTAACCACCGAGCTACATCCCCTACCTTTTTTATTATTTTGAGATAGAGTCTCACTAAGTTGCTGAGGCTGGCTTTGAACTTGTAAATCTCTTGCTTCAGCCTCCCAAACTGCTGGGATTACAGGCGTGCACCACTGCACCAAGCAATTTGTTGATATTTTATCATGGATTAAGAATACTATTTATAGTTGAAATTATACATTTAAAGTAAGAAAATTACCACAACATTGCAAAATTAATTTTCAAGTATAGCCCATATACTTATTTTGATCTTACATTGTTGAAAACTGAGCACTTCCTCCAACACTCCTTTTTCTAGTTGCAATCTGATAAAAATAGCTGGGTTGCCAATGACCCACCTGTGTACAGTTAATTCCAGATTTTAATTCCCATTTCCAGTATCAGAATATTCACAATACCTGATGCTTCAAACAGTGGAACGTCTGGTGTCACAGTTTTATCAAAGTTGAGACCTGCCTTGGCTAGAAAGTTCAAATTCCATTTTTTTCAATTTCTAATTAAACAGAAAACAAACAACTCTGTTTTTCACTTAAGTGAACAAAATCAATGAAAACATACCACGGTTCTGCTAAGTAGAGCACAGCTGTGGGGTTGCTACAGCAACCCTTGTACACTGACCATAGAATGCCCCAAGCAGGAAAAAAAAAATCTTTTGCTCCACCCTCTAAAAAGTCAGCCACCCTGCAAGCAGAGGGTCTGTGAGCAAAGACAGGCTTTTAGTTTAGTGGCTGTGGAGCAATAAGAAACCATTCTTTCCTGTTTCCTAGGAATAACTGTCATTTCAATAACCAAAACAAACCCCACACCAAGTTACTATGTGTGATTATGTACTGCTGCACCATGGTAGGACTGGATTCTTTACTCCTCCCTTTAGAAATCTGGCACAGGAAACAAGCCAAACTGATTTCCCTCTAGGCATACAGAAACAAAGAAAATAAATAAATGAACTGGAACATTCCCACTTTTGCTTTTAGACTTTAACCCATACAAGCTTGTGTTCTACAACTTCTTCTTTTCTTTTTTCTTTTTGCCAGATTCAAAAAACACTTATTGATAAGTATTACTAAAGGCAAACTCTTCTGCTGGTGCTTTTATGAGTTATTTTGTTTACTCCTCACAACAACCCTGTGAAGTAGAATTAGTTTAACTCCTACTTTATAGATGAAAACCTGAAGTTCTAGGAAGTTATTTGACCTCTGCAAATAACTAAAACAGTGCAGTCATAATCTGAACCTGTCTCTTAACTCTGAAGTCATTTTTTCTACTATATTAATTTTATGAGAAAATTTTCAATTTTTAGTTGAAATATTCAAGTTCTTTATAAAATGACTTTTAAATTTTTATGGTAATGTTTTAGCAATACATTTTCATAAGGAATGGCTTTACTGATAAACTATATTTCAGAGGAAACAAAGGCACAGAAATAAAGGGCCATAATATGATGGTGTGGATTTCTACTTCCTGAAAGTTTAAATTAAAGAACTCACATCCTGGAGGAGGAAAGGTAAGGCAGAAAAATGAGTGAGGTGATAAAACGGAGTTTAGAAGTTTAGTTGGACACCCTGTGAAACATCTCCAGGGCTGAGGAGCTGCCGGGGGAGGTGGAGTAAAGCAAGTCAGGGGCACATACACAATTTAAACCAAAGGGAGAGAAACCTTGATCTCTGCCATTAATTACTTTCAAGTATAATTTCAAGTTATCAATCTACCTATTTTCAGATACCTCCCCACTTCTAGGTATGAAAAAGTCTTTCTAATATGGCATTTTTTTCCTCATGATTACAAGGAATATTGGTTCTCTTCCTTGGAAGGTTCACAGTTACACACTTTCCCTACACAGACTTTTTTGGGATTTCCTAGGAAAAGAGAAAGACTGTCTTTTAAACATTGCTTTTCTTATCTCCCTGGGATCCTGACCTAAAAATTCTTTCACATTTGTAGTCTGAACAGTCTCCCACCTTTGCTGCGAATTCAGGGAAATTGGTAAGCATACTCCTCCAATTCTGTCCCTCTGGAATCAATATCTCTTAAAAATGGTTACCCTATGCTCTAAGCAGAATTCTGCCTTTCAGCACAGCTTTCCTGTCTATCGTCTACTTCTACCACAGCTGATGACTCCAGTGCTCTAGCTGCCCCAGAAGAGTTGAGTGAGAAGCCAAGAGTTCAGAATTGTACTAGTTTCTATAGGTTTCTGGAAAGATAGGTAAACAAGTGTAAGTTTATTATAACGCACGCATATACAAGAAAATCTACTGTGACATCACTGATTTTAAAATATAAAAATAAAAACATATTTCTTTTTTTTTTCAGAATGAGGTAATTAAATGACTAACTTCCTCTTCTTTTTAATAAAAATATACCACTTTTCAGGGGTTCTAGAAATTCATATTCTTAATTAACATTGGTGACTATTATATACAATGAAAAGAAAAATTATAACAAAAGTTAAGACAAAATTGATCACTGGTATTGAAAAAAACCAGATTTGTAAAAAAAAGAGAAGAGGAATAGCATTAGCTGAGTTTCCATCTTCTACAAATTAAGAAACTATGAGGGGCTGGGGTTGTGGCTCAAGCGGTAGCACGCTCGCCTGGCATGTGTGAGGCCCGGGTTCGATCCTCAGCACCACATAGAAACAAAGATATTGTGTCCGCCGAAAACTAAAAAAAAAAAAATAAAAAAAACATTAAAAAAATTCTCTCTCTCTCTCACTCTTTAAAAAACAAAACAAAAACAAAACAAAAAAAAAAACTATGAGTTCTTATTTATAATCATCACATAAAACTTGGGTTAAAGTCTTCTTCACAAAACTGTAACTATTAAGCTTTTCCCTTTCCAAGAAAAAAAATATTTTACAGCTGTAAAACATTTTAGGGAGGCACCATCAAGAAACTTAAGAGACCTTCACTGAATCCTCTGCATTTAACATTGGTTTATAAGGTCATAAGAGCAGTAAGTAAAGAAGTAGAACATACTTATATCTCAGATTTAACTCAGTTTTGAATATCTGGTACACATTTTTAGATTCAGCTAAAGATATCTGCAAACTGAACAATATTCTTAAGGCATGATTAGGTTAGGGACTTTGGAAAATAAGAAAGAAAAGGGCAATCACTTATTATTTGGGATTCTTACTAGGTCATTAGGCATTAATTTTAAAGTATACAACAACTTTGTGTTTTATAGAGACCAGAAACATAATTCAAAATTTCACAGTTATTTTAAATTAAAAACACTTTAGACAATTCAAGATCTTACTGACAAAGTTCATTTTAGGTGACAGTTTTGCTACTGTGTTACTGTTCCCACATGATATCATCTCTTCTTAATTTCATTTGAAGATTATGAACTTGTACTGGATGAAAATTGTTGTTTTTCTGAAAAGGGTTAGTTTCATTCAAACATTTTCTGGGGCTATTTTTAATGTTCTTTGATCCTTTAAGGTTGCTATCTTCTCGTTGAATAACTGAAGTGTTGCTCAACATCTTTGAGTTTTGAACTTTTTGTTGCAGTTTATAAACCTGGAGAGAAAAAATATCTAGCATTTTAGTCAAAAATATATTTGACTAAATATATTTTTAGTCAAAATAGATGGATCACAAAATAGATGGATTGGATTGATGGTATAAAGATTACATTAAAAAATTCAAATCAGTAAATTTTATATTTTGAACAGTTATTATATGCCTAACACTAAATGAATAAAACAGTCCTTGCTATAATGAATGAAAGAAAAACATATGCATGACAACCATGGAATACCTCAAGCCAAGATTACTTTGAGTAAAATAAAAAGTCTATATTTGAGAAGGTCAAAGTAAGACAAGATAAATGTGGGATGCAGCAGTTGAGGGAAAGGTTGTAGGGAAGATGTAAAACTGGCAAAAACTAGAACAGAGTACAGAAAGTACAGAAGGAAGTACTTTTCAGGTGATAATTAACAGCAAAGCAAAGAATTGGTGCGATAAACTGAGTGTATAGAGTAGTGTATACACACACACATACACACAAATACACATGCGCACGCACACACACACACACACACACACAATTTATTTCTGAATTTAAAATACTGATATATGCCAGAGAAAAAAAGGTCAAGGGAATAACATTATGCCCTTAATGACTATCAATTCATAATGGAGTACATAGAGCCAGGCATAGTGGCACACACACATATAATCCCAGTTACCTAGGACACTGAGGCAGGAAGATTGTAAATTCGAGACCAAATTAGGTAACTTAGTGAGACCCTGTTTCAAAATAAAAATAAAATGAAAAGGACTGGGGATGTAGCTCAATGGTTAGAGCACACCTGGGTTCAATCCCCAGTACCACAAAACAAAAACAAAAATAGGAAAAAAAACAAAAACCAAAGAAAACACAAAAACACCAACCGAGGATAGACAGAATTAAATAATACCTATCAAACAACCATAACACATTTCTTCCAAATGAAACTGAATCCCTTTCTCTCGCCATGCACAAAAGTGAATTCAAGGAGCTTGATATCAAATCAGAGACGTGCCGTCCAAATCCAAACCGTTACTTAGCCATTTCACTTATGCATAGGTATAATCTATAGAGCTAATTCAGGCATTGGCAAATACCTTGTCGTCTACTTGCCAAGAAGGTATTTTTTACTACAGATTAAATTTACCAAGATAAGATGCTTGAAAATATTTACTGCTATAGCTATTATGGAATATAACTCAAAATTTCCAAAATAAATATGGTACAGGCTGGGGACATAGCTCAGTGGCAGACTGCTTGCCCAGCAAGTGGAAGGCCTGGGGTTGATCCCCAGCACTGGGGAAAAAAAAATTATAGACTGCCTAAGTTCTAAATTGTTATTATTATCTGGGGCTGGGATTGTGGCTCAGTGGTAGAGTGCTCGCCTAGCATGCATGAAGCGCTCGCTGGGTGCGATCCTCAGCACCACATAATGTAAAATAAAGATATTGTGTCCACCTAAAACTAAAAAATAAATAAAATAAATAAAAAATAAATTGTTGTTATTATTCTCATCCTTTCAAGTTTCTCCTATGCAAGTCAAGAAAGTATACAATCAATATACCTTTCATCCCAAAACAAGTATATAAACATTTTTATTTACCATATGCCTAAAAAGTCAGTAAAATAAAAGTATCCACCTCCAAGGTTTCATTTCTTTCTCTCTTGGTCATAAGCAGAATAAAAGCATAATATTCTGAATCTTTTATTACTGTCCTATAAAAGTGAGGGGGTATTTGTGAGGTTAACACATCATTAATTTATATGAATAATGATTATATTTATAAGGAGATAGTTATGTGATGTAACATGTAGTTTCCTGGAAAGACTTCCTCTGCCTTCTGTGTGTGTGTGTGTGTGTGTGTGTTGTTGTCATTGTTGTTGCTGGGGATCAAACCAAGGGCCTTGTGCATGTGAGGCAAGCACTCTACCAACTGAGCTATATCCCCAGCCCTTCCCTCTGCCTTCTGCTCCAGCAGAATAATGGTATCAAAAGTTCTACTATAGAGTCATTGTTTTGGGATAAAACATTATATCTGTAATTCTTCTGTTAAGATATTAAAACAGTTACACCATTCTTATTAAGACTTCACACACAAGTACAGAGTTATGCTTAATACCCTTGCCATTCTAACTATAGCTAGCTAAGCACAGGTTCTCAGGGAATAGAATACAGAACAGCTTGTTTAGAGAAAGGGAAAACTGGGATTTTAGGATTGGGGTACTGCTTGAGGAGCTAGGCTTACATATGGTACTGTCTTAAAGATCTGTAGACAGAAGGGTCATCATTAAGGAATTAGAAGAGAGAGACCAGGGAAAAGAACGCTAAAAGGGTAACAGAAAGGCTGCTAAGGCAATAGCCTAGCTCACAATTTTTTTTTTTTTTGGTGGTATTGGGAGACTGAATTTGAGGTGCTATACCACTGAGTTACAGTTTATCTCCATACCTTTTTACTTTTTGAGACAGGATCTTGCTAAACTGCCGAAGCTGGTATCAAACTTGCGATCCTCCTGCTCAACCTCCCCTGTCCTAAGATTACAGGTATGTATAACCACGCCCAGCTTAGCCCATAAATTTCCAAAAGCTTAAGCATATAACTAAACTTTCTTGCTCCTTTTTTTAAATTATTTTTTGGGAGTTATGTTGGAGGCCCATGTGATTTTAACAGGGCAGATGGCTCTATATGATAACAGGACTAAGACTCAAGTCTTTTCACAAGCATACATACAGACATCAAGTTTGGAAGATCATACAGAGATGAAACACTGATTCTAGATATATTATATTTTTATCAAAAATGTTTACTAAAGTCTTCTTACATTGTCTTGATGCTTCCTCAGTTTGGAAATTTGTTCTCCTTTAATTTCCATTTTCTTTACTAAATGCTCTAGTTCACATTCTATGTCATCACAGACTGAATGGCTTTCAGTTTCTTTCATTTGTTTCAGTAGTTCTTCATGCTCCCTATAAAAGAAAAGCAAATGTTAGGCACCATTGAGGTTTATTTACAGCATATGTCTTGGCCACAATTAGTTTTTTGCTCAAATTTTAGTCAGAGTTAAATATTAATCTTCAAAAACAATCTCTATCCTGCTGGGCACTTGTAATCCTATTTGTATTCCCAGTTACTCAGGAAGCTGAGGCAGGAGGATTGCAAGTTCAAGGCCAGCCTCAGCAATTTAGTAAGATTCTATCCCAAAATAAAAAGTAAAAAGGCAAAGGATGTAGCACAGTGGTAAAGTGTCCCTGGGTTCAATCTGCAGTACTGCAAACAACAACAACAAATACTATAATCTATATCTTTAGGACTGTCTAATTAAATCTATGTTAAACAAAATCAGGTTCTTGTGATTTGAGATCAGACACATTCAGAAATATCTTAGACTTAGGTTGCTAAATAACCTTATTAAAAAATCTGAATTCTGGATGTTCATAGCCAAATGTAGTATAACGTTCTGATATCCCAGGGTAGAGTTATTGAAAGAGCTCTCTTCAGTTTTAGCTATGGAGTTTGAAATATTGTCAACAGAACTAGGTATAAGTCCTATAGAAGTCTCAGTTCAAAATACATAATTCTGCAACTTCTATTGAACATATTTAAGCATGGGGCATAATATATCTCATACAGAATTTTCTCTCACTAAGAATGCTTCAAGTTTGTAATATAAACAAGCCAGTCTAAAACAAGGAATTATATTCTACTTGTCTAATGAAATCATTCATTTAACTAAAAGATTCCAAAAAACAAAAGGAGAATCTTTCAAAAATAAAAGGCTTTTGTGGCCAGGCATGGTGGTGCATGCCTATAATCCAAGTGGCTTGGGAGGCTGAGGCAGGAGGATTGCAGATTCAAAGCCAGGCTTAGCAACTTAGCAAGACCCTGTCTCAAAACAAAAACAAAACCAACCAAAAACCCTTTTGTGAGTTAAAATTTAACATCACCAGAACCTATATGTCAGAATGATACAGGATAACAGTAATATGTGTCTGTAAGTATGGGTCTTGAGAATACAGAAACCCCTTAGATTATAATTTAATTACACATAACTAAAAATATAAATAGTACAATAAATAAAATTTTAAAAACTAGTGACAATAAATCTGCAAGTCAAATAAAACAGTATGTCCAAATGCCTTAAGGAACTCCTAAATGGCACTGTTCTTAAGCGCAAGAAGAAAAGTCAGGTGCCATGGCACATACCTAGAGTCTTGGCAGCTTGGGAGGCTAAGGCAGGAGGATCCCAAGTTCAGTCTCAGCAACTTAGCAAGGCCCTAAACAATTTATTGAGATTTTGTCTCAAAATAAAAAATAGTCTGAGGATGTGATCAGTGGGAAGCATGCCTGAGTTCAATCCTTGGCCCCCCCAAAAAAGAAAGAAAGCGCAAGAAGAAAAAATATGATATCTAAATATCTTGCTGCTGTAGATATTGTTGTAGATCTTGATGGCATATACCTATAATCCTAGTTATTTGGGAGGCTGAGGTATGAAGATCAAAATTTAAGGCTAGCCTAAGCAACTTGGTGAAATCCCATCTTAAAAAATTTGAAAGAATTTTTAAAAGTGTATGTATTTCAGTTGTAGAGTGCTTGTCAAGCATGTGTGAGGCCCTTGGATCAATCCCCAGTATTCCTAGCTAATTAAAATAAACAAATCTTACTACTTCTCCTGATAAGCAATAAAAATACTGCCAAGGCATGGTAGTACATGCTTATAATCCCAGTGGCTTGGGAGGCTGAGGCATGAGGATCTTGAGTTCAAAGCCAGCCTCAGCAACTTGGCGAAGCCCTAAGCAATTCAATGAGATCCTCTAAATAAAATACAAAAAGGGCTGGAAATGAGGCTCAGTGGTTGAGCACACTGGTACCAAAACAAAAACAATAAAAATACTTACATACTCATTTGGTCCAGCTCATCTTGCATTGCCATCAAAAGTTCAGACAAATTGTCACAAATGGAAATGGACTTTTCTGAGTCCTGAGGTACAGCTTTGTACCGTGAGGTTTTTCTGGTAGGTCTGTAAAGACATCTAGGCTCAGTCACCTCAGGTTTCTGAAGGCTACACTGGCTACAATGATGCATCATCTTTAAAAGGCTGTACATGCTCCCATTCGCAGAACTGGCTGCAGACTTAAGGGGAAAAGAAATAGCAGAGAACAATTTTAAATGACTGATGTTATTTAATAGCACTCACAAATAATGTAAATTTTTTTTTTTAAATCATCTTAATTTTTATCCTCTTACCTTTTCAGCCTCAAAAGGCAGTTCTCTAAGCTTTGAATAAATTTGCTGAGTTGGTCCTCTTTTTAAACTTTTAGTTTTCTAAAGATTGACAAGAAAAAAGTGAGCAAAAAATATTATTATAAAATACATTTATGATATGAAGAACTCAGAACTCAATAGTAAGTAAAAAAACATAATAGAAGACATAATAGACATTTCACTGGAGCAGACAGATAGCAATTGAACACATGAGTAGATAATCAACATCATTAATCATTAGGGAAATGTAAGTTAAAATTACAATGAAATATTAAATTAAATGGCCAAAATAAAAAATAGTAATGACACCAAGTGTTGACAAGGACACAGGGAAATTGGATTACTAACATATTGTTAGTAGGAATACAAAATGGAACAGCCACTTTAGAAGACAGTTTGGCAGATTCTTATGAAGTGAATCATGTACTTATCATGTGACCCAACCATTCACTGCACTCTTGGATACTATGGCAGTGAAATAAAAATTTATATTTTACTCAAAAAACTACCTGTACATAAGTGTTCACAGCAGATTTATCTAAAATAGCCTCAAACTAGAAACAATCCAAATATTCTTAAACACGTGAATGGTTAAACTGGAAATTCATAACATAGAATACTATGCAGAAATAAAACTATGTCTTGATAAATTATGCAACATTTTGGATGGATCTCAAGGATAAAAAGCCAATCCCCAAAGGTTAAATATTATAATGATTCTATTTATGTAATATTTTTAAAATAACAAATCCAAAGATGAAGAACAAATTAGAGATTGTCAGGGGTCAGGGAGGGGGATGTGTAGGTATAAAGGAACTATATAACATTATTAAGTCATGCATGTAAGTAATTTTATCCTCACAATTATTTCCATTTACACACTAGAAAAAGTTATTAAAGACTGAGTGGTAACATAACTTCTCCAACGGTACACAGTAGCTATATAGTGGTGGGATATTTCTGCATCTTGATTGTTGTGATGGTAACATGAATCTACATATGTGTTAAAACTACAAAAACTCTTATACAATTAGATTAGTTACCATTAGATTTATATCTCTAATTATGTCCCTATTTTTCTTAGGAACCTTCAATAGTTCCTGTTAATAGCATAAAAGTACAAGTTCTTAACACAGAACCCAAAGGTACAGCCATAATCTCTCCCCAAGCTATAATTTCAACTTTAATTTTATTATATATGACCCCATTTCACACTACTATAGAACTATGGGTCCCTGGAAAAAGCAACAACAATTTCCTCAGACTATAATACATTTCTCTTCATCTCATTCTACTTTAATATTTATAATTCTCCAATGCTGCCTTAAATGCTGATTCTCATTTCACCCTTCACATAGTGCTTTGTCAACACAGCACCACAAGACTGTTTATGCCTCCATTAGCTTTTTATCTCACCCTTTTATATTTGTATATTTACCTGTTTCTCATAAATTCTTCCCTTTATCACACAGAGACCAATCTATATATATAATCAAAATGTATAAGTTGTGATAGAAGGGAGACCACTAGAGAGGAGGCCATGCAAAGGATGGAGGAGAGGGGGAAAAAGAGGTACTGGGGAATGAAATTGACCAAATTATATTATCTGCATGTATGAACATGCAACAACAATAATACCCCACTGTTATGTGCAATTATAATGTACAAATAAATAAATAAACAAAATTTAAAAATCAAACAAGTGTGAGTTGAATATCCAATTCAGGATATGGAGAAACAGTGTCAGAGACAAGCAGGTCTTTCCTAGAAGGCCTCTTAAAACCTGATCAGCAACATTAGTGCTCCTTCCATTATTAAAGGGAGACATGATTATTTGCAGATTCAGTGAACCTAGGATTTGAACTAAGTACTTTTATAAAGTGATTTTGCTGTTAATTACTCTCTTCTCTTTCAGGAGCCCATCTTTCTCTAATTTCTTTTACCTTCTCCCTGTACCTTTCACAGTAAATAGGTAAATTTTAAAATATATTCCAATCCGCTAATTTATCATATAAATGATGCTATAGGATATAAATATAAGAATAAGCCAACATTTGTTTAATTTGCAAATTACTTATAGCATTTATTTGGTCCGCATTATCAAATCTCAACATACAGAGGGCTGGTGTGTAGCTAAGTGGTTAAACACTTGCCTAGCATGTGAAAGGCCCTGTGTTAAATTCCCTTCACTTCCCCCCTCCAAAAAATCAAAACAAACAAAAACTCAACAAGACATACAACAAATGTTGAAGGAAAGAAAAAAGCAGTGTATGTGTGTGTGTGTATGTATGTGTTTGTGTGTGTACTGGGAAAAAAATTTTCATTCTTATAGTGGCAAAAAAGTGTTCTCCCCTTGAAGTATATATATTTTTATGTGTGTGTATGTGTGTGTGTGTGTGTGTGTGTGTGTGTGTAGTATTGATCTAAACAAAATATTGGTCCATCTATAAAGTATTAACTTCCCAATTCTTATTTTTAGGCAAATTCAAAGAAAAAAGAGAATAAATAATGATAAATTCCCTATATAATTGACTTAACAAACACCTATAAATTAAGTCTGTAAAAAAAAATCCTTATTTTTTATTTTGCATGTACCATATAAAACTGCATTCAGATTTATTGTGCTGTCAGCATCTATTACATTGTTTAATGCCCTTTTTAAAAAGTATTACAAAATACACTTCTCTAAGAGCTCAAAACTAGAAAAATGTCTTTCTAGAAAAACTGGACTGATTCCTATTATTTCACAAAGATACCTACATTGCCCGTTACATGTACTTTTTTGCGCTGAGTTTTGTAAACAACTGATGTTACCTATTTATTTATTTTGAGAGACTGAGAACCAAACTCAGGCTTTTGTGTATAAGGCAAGCAATCTATCATTAAGCTACAACCCCAGTTATTTATTAATTTATCTTCTAAGACAGGGTTTTGCTAAGTTGATGAGGATGATCTCAAACTTGTGATCCTCTTGCCTCAACCTCCTGAGTAGCTGGGAATACAAGTGTATGCCACCATGCACAGTTAGTTACTCTCTTTAACCTAGTTTTTATGGAATTTTCCTCTGCTTACACTCAAAACCACCATCACTTGACTCATTTCATGGTATTATTGCATGTCTTTTAATGTAAATCTCTTCAAATTCTTTCTGTAAATAGACAGGAATAAAGATTAAAAGGGTGAATAAGTGAGCATTAGCAAATAAGAAAGTGCTGTTTGGGGAAAAGTTTTATATGCATACCTCAGAAGATTTCTTTTTTTCCTTTGAGAGTTTTGATTTTGAAACTGAAGACATTAAAATTTTACTGATTTCAAGTCCAGTTTGAAGCTATAATATTAAAGAAACAATTCATAAAATTGATTGCAACAAGATTCTTTAAATATAATGAAAGATCAGATCTTGGTTTATAAATATTTTAAAAATCTTTTTTGGTAACTGGTGCTATAGAACACATCTCTAGTCTCAGCTACTCAGGAGGCTCAAGGGTAAAAACTGCTTGAGCCAAGGAGTTCAGGGTCAGGTTGGGCAACATACTGTGACTCCCATCTCAAAAGAAAAAAAAAAAGCTTCTTGAGGAAGAAAAGACAAGATACTATTTGTGTGTGAGAAAGTCATTAAATCTACTGGTAATTATAATCATTTTCTGTTTATAAGAGAATAAATTATAATAGACATTAAATTATTATATTATAACATATATGTATCTAAAACTGAAACTAATCTATCCTAGTAGTTATTTCAACTGAGAATTATATATTTGTTAGAATTTTAAGACTAAAAAATCTCTTGGCAATTAATTAAAGCATATGAATATACCAGTTGAAAATTTAATTTTTATAGCAAACAGACAAAACTAACATCCTAAGAAGCAGAAATTAAGAGTCTAGAATATAGGCTTCAGTTAATGAAAATAATATATAATAAAACATATACTGTTTACTGTGATAGCTTTAAATAATATTATTTACCTCTGAAGCCTTGTCTTGAAACAGCTTACGTTGATGCTCTTCTTCTGTAAGTTTTTCTTCTAGATGTTTAATCTTGTCCTGCAAAAGAATAAAAAACTGGGATTGTTCTATAAACAAAAGCCAAATACCCTTTGTTCCTTTTCCAGCCAGAGTACTAGGGGGTCTTGATTTTTAAAAGTTGACAAGTTAAAGCAAAAAATGAGAAAAAGTAATAGCAAAAGATGGTAAGATTTTTTTGAGGGGAAGGTGTGCTTTCTTCCTATGCTTCCTTATCTGCTATTAACTACAAGGAAAATAAAGAGAAAGGAAAGAATATATACACACATAAGCTTTAGTAACTTCCATTGACCATAACTACGAAACTACTGAGGGTATTAAAGATCTAGAAGGTCAAACTGTCTTGGGTCTCAATATTTCATTCAAAATAGAAAAACATCAATAAATGTCTACCATGCTGCATAAGAAAAGAATGCAGTGTTAGGGGAAGAATAAGGGTAGGAAGATATATAAGAAATATAAGGTGTGTTTCTTGTTACTTAAGAGCATGTGCACTATTATAGTTAGGGAAACAAGAAACAATATAATAACAAAGCAATGGATATCATTTGATATGAACCATGTAAACATATAACCATATACATGTAAATATTACATATTCTATCTGTGATGTGGTTCAGAATAGGAAGACAGTACTATTTCCAAGGGAATACATTCCTAAGTGTTGGATAAATCAAGGAAGACATCAAAGAGGAAGAAAAGCTTTGAGAAAATCCCATGAAATACAAGAGATCTGTGTGGGTGGGGGGGGGGGGGGGAAGAAGAGGAGGAGGAGGAGGAGGAGTGAGGGGAGGAGGAGGATGAGGAGGAGGAATAAGAAAGGATTTAGAATAGGCTTCACTTGACCACAAGTGGTAAAAGACAATCTTCTCAGTATCCTTTAAGTAAATTATCTGACAAATGAAAATATTCTGTCATTTTACAAAAAGTCAAAATTACAATTTTACATCAAAATGCAAACTCATTTAGTTGTGACAGAGCACATTAACTTTTATTGCTACAGGCAGGAATTAATGTCTGGATTACTTAAAGTTATAAATGAAGTTTTAAAATGTTAAGATTTACTGTACATTCATATACAATGCCAGTTTTGCTTAACACTCAGGATTTATTCCTGGCATCATCACTTCAAAGACAGAAGCAGAAGCTTACCTCAGCAGTTTTCTGAGTTGTTGTCAATCTAAAACACTCTTTTTCTAAGACATCAAGCTTTTCAAGTTTTGCATGCAGCTTCAACTGATCTTGTTCTTTTTCCCTTTGAAGCTGGGCCTGGAAAGAATTAAAACAAAACAAACCAAGCAACCAATGCTGAATTTGGCAAGTGATGCCAATGGATCAAGAATAATATGATTTCTGAGAATTCAAATACAATATAAATTTACTGTATAAAACACGTACATGCATGTATATACTTTAGGTGCTTACTAGCAAAAACAAGAAAACCAAATACAATGGGCAAAGGAAAGAGTTGTGATACTATATTAGTATCAATGGAATAAGTTCTTCTATGCAATCTTATATAACAATTCTACAAATAAAAATGATTGGCAAAACCTGTGTTAAAGAAATAAAGTGTTGCTTGGCACAGTGGTGCACACCTGTGATCCTAGCGGCTCAGGGGGCTGAGGCTGGAGGATCACAAATTCTGGGCCAGATTCAGCAACTTAGTGAGGCCTTAAGCAACTTAGCCAGACTCTGTCTTGAAATAGTACAAAATGGGCTGGGGATGTGGCTTGGTGGTTAAGCACCTGGTTTAATTCCTAGTACGGGGGGAAGAAAAAAAAAAAAGGAAGGGATGAGAGTATAACTCAGTGGTAAAGCACTTGCTTAGCATCAGAAAGGCCCTGGGTTAGGGTTGGGGGGGGGGGGAACGACACTAAGAGGACGACACAAATATTAGTTGCTTTGTTGGGGGTTAAAGCGAGAGCTTCAAATAGCTTTGAAGAGAGGTGAGAGAATTTCTAGGATAATGGATATATTCTCTTAGGTATTTGATAGGGGTATGGATTACACAGGTCTAGGCATTTACATATAGTGTACAGATCTGTGCATTTTATTCCATGTAAATTATACCTAAAGAAAACATTTTTAATATTGTTAAAAGTCATTAATTATAATATTTACCTAGGAAAGTACTGTGTTTAGATCTTGAGTATGCCCCCAGTGGGCCACGTGTTAGAGTCTTGGTCTGTAGCTTGGCACTATTGGGAGGTAGGGAAACTTTAGAAGTGGGGCCTTATGGGAGGTCTTTGGGGGGCATGATTGGAAGGGGACAGTGGAATCCCAGTCCCTTTCTCTTCTTCTCTTTCATATGCTGGCCATGAGGTGAATGGTTTTGCTCTACCACATGCTCTTGCCAGAATGTGCAGTCACATATTCAAAGCAACAAGGCCAAGCAAAGCATGAACTGAAACTCTGTAAGTAAAATAAACCTTTTTATTTTATAAGCGGATTATTTCAGGTATTTGTTATAGTGACAAAGCTGACTAATATACATTAGAATTTCTAGATTGTTGGAGAATGCATGCTCAACTTTTTTCATAAGATAAAGTAGTTGCTCTTCTGTTCAATGATTCTGATGTCTAGAATTATCAGAATTAAATTTTTTTCCAATCTGGTAGATGTGAAGTATTATCTTATTGAGCTTTTAATTTGCATTTCCCTGATTACTAATCATATTGATGATGTTTCCCAATAATGTAAGGCTATATGTAATTCCATTTTTCCTGTAAAATGCTTCTTCATAACTCTTGCCCATTTTTGTATTGTTTGTTACTTCTGAGGAGGGGTCTTTTTAAAAAAGTTCCTCTCCAAAGAGGTCATAAAAATATTCTCCAATTGTTTCTAAATTTTCAAAATTTTTCCTTTTAAGTCTTTAATCCTTCTGGAATTGATTTTATGTATGGTGTGAAATAGGGATCCAATTTCAGTTTTTCTAGATCACTTATTGAACTATTATTTCCCCAATGGTCTGCAATTATATATTGAATTTCTGCTAAGAGTCCATTCCATTGTTTTTAGATGTTCATCCATATAAATATTATGTTATCTTGTTATCATAATTTTGATAGCACAATACCTTGTTTCAATGTCTAATAGAGCAAGACCTTCACCTTTTTCGCCTTCAGAATAGTTTGGCTGTTCTTGGACCTTTGTTTTTCTGTATAAATTCTAGAGTTACTCTTTTTAGTTTCTTCAAAACCTATTATATATTTGACCTTTCAAAATCCAGTATCGGGGGCTGGGGTTGTGGCTCAGTGGCAGAGTGCTTGCCTCATAAGTATGAGGCACTGGGTTTGATCCTCAGCACCACATAAAAATAAATAAATAAAATAAAGGTATTTAAAAAAATTCAGTATTGGTACTTTTACCCTTTTTCAAAGACAACGCAAGGATGTTAGAATTCTGTAAACTATATTTACTCCTTTTTAATTTATAAGCTATCATTCTGATGAATTTTAATCCTCTTTATATTCAAACTAAATAAAGCTGTTGTTTTACATAATATTCATTTAGATTTATCCATATATTTACCATCATTTTGCTCTTCATTCCTTCCTGTATCTCTGATCTTCTGTAGAAGAAAGTTTTCCTGTCTGAATACCAATACATCCTTTATTGTTTCCTTCAGAGCAGATCTACCAGCAACAAATTATCTCCGACTGTTAATTTTGTGTTTGTGAGGGGTGTGAGGGGTACTAGGGATTGAATCTAGGGGCGCTCGACCACTGAGGTACTTCTTAGCCTATTTATTTTTTGGGTACTGGGGATTGAATTCACGGGGCACTCGACCACTGAACCACATCCCCAGCCCTATTTTGTGTTTTATTTAGAGACAGGGTCTCACTGAATTGCTTAAAGCCTTGCTTTTGCTGAGGCTGGCTTTGACCTCGCGATCTTCCTGCCTCTGCCTCCCAAACTGCTGGGATTACAGGCATGTGCCACCATGCCCAGCCCTTTTTATTTATTTATTTATTTATTTTTAATTTTTTTCTTTTTTTTTTTCTAGTTGTAATTGGACACAACACCTTTATTTCACTTATTTATTTTTGTATGTGATGCTGAGGATCAAACTCAGGGTCTCCCACGTGCGAGGCAAGCACTCTGCCACTGAGCCACAACCACAGCCCCCCCCCCCCCCCCCCCCCCCCCCCCCCCCCCCTTTATTTTTTGAAACAGGGTTTCACTAAGTTGCTGAGGCTGGCCTCGAACTTATGATCCTCTTGCTTCAGCTTCCTGTGTGTCTGAGATTACAGGTGTATGCCACTACACCCTGCCAGGCTTTCTTAGTCTTAAAATGTCTTTTTTTAAACCTTTATTTCTCAAAGATATTTGCACCCGGCATAAAATTCTAGATCAATAGTTATTTTCTTTTAATACCTTCAGTTTATCAGTCCACTTTCTTTTGGATTCAATACAGTTAAAAAGTTAGCTATTGCTTTAATGATCATTCCTTTGTAATTATCTTTTCTGGCAACTTTGAAGACTTGTTTTTATTATTTACCTTATTATGAGATTTCTGAGTAAAGCTTTATTTATATTCATTTTGCTTTGATTTTATACAGCTTCTTGAATCATTGGTGGGATTTTTTTTAGAAAATTCTTAGCCATTATCTCTTCAAATATTGTCTCTGCCCCACTTTCCTTCTGAAACTCCAATTACACGTAAGTTAGACCTTCTCACTCTGCTTTCTGAATTTACTATCATTTTGTCTCTTCATTCATCTGGATGATTTCTACTTTTGTTTTATTAATTCTCTCTTCCATTGCTGAGAAGAATCTTTTTTGTTTGAGTCCATCCCATTTATTAGTTCTTTATTTTATTTCTTATGCTTTAGGTAAGTCTTGTTAAGGAAGTAGGGGCCTAATCCAACACAATGAAGATTTGGGCCTACTTTTTTCTCTATTAGGTGCAGGGTCTCTGGTCTAATTTGTAGATCCTTGATTCACTTTGAATTGAGTTTTGTGCATGGTGAGGGATTGGGGTTTCATTCATTTTGCTGCATTCGGATTTCCAGTTCTCCTAGCACCATTTGTTGAAAGGCTATCTTTTCTCCAATGTATGTTTTTGGCACCTTTATCTAGTATGAGATGATTGCATTTATGTGGATTTGTCTCTGTGTCTTCTATTCTGTACCATTGGTCTATATATCTGTTTTGGTGCCAATACCATGCCGTTTTTGTTACTATAGCTTTTTCTTTTTTAAATTTGTATTAGTTATTGATGGACCTTTATTCACTTATTTGTTTGTATATGGTGCTGAGAATCGAACCCAGTGCCTCACACATGCGAGGCAATCACTATACCACTGAGCCACAACCCCAGCCCTCTTTTTAAAAATATTCTATCCAGGGGCTGGGGTTGTGGCTCAGTGTTAGAGGGCTTGCCTCATATGTGTGAGGCACTAGGTTCAATTCTCAGCACCACATATAAATAAATGAATAAAATAAAGGTTCATCAACATTAAACATATTTAAAAATATTCTATCCAGTTTTTCTTTGTAAAAAGGTTGGTTCAAATGACCCAATCTATCATTACTGCAGGTGGAAATCTCCTAAATATAGCTTTATATCTGTGTTAGCCAGCTCTTCATCACTGTGACCGGAATACCTGACATAAACAAATTAAAGGAGGAAAAATTTAGTGTGGTTCACACTTTCAGTCCACAGTTGGCTGGCTCATTGCTTTGGGCCAGAGGTAAGACAGAACATCATGGCAGAAAGGTGTGGCAGAAGAAAGCTGCTCAGTTCGTGGTAGCTATGAAGAAAAAAGATGAAGGAAGGGTCCAAGGACAAGATATAGTCCCCAAGGACAAAGCCCCAAGGACTCACTCTCTTCAACTAGATTCCAACTCCTACAGCTTCCACTGCCTCCCAGTAGTTCATTCAGCTATCATTGGATTAATCCACTGAAGCCAGAGCCCTCATGATCCAATCACTTCCCAAAGTCCCATTTTCTGAACATTTCTATGTTGGGGAACAAAGCCTTCAATACTTGTGCTTTTTTTTTAGGGGATATTCCATATCCAAACCATAACAATATCCTATTTTACCTGATGTTATGACAATTTTCCTATGTTAAATTTTCTTCAAATACATATTAAATTACATTGTCACCCTTTTTGGAACATATGCTCACCTGTTGTTCTAAGATCATATTCTTTTCTCGTTCTACATTGAGAACCATTCTCTTTGTATATTCTAGTTGCTTCTCTAGAAGAGTACAGCGTGACTGGGCTGAGCGTAACTGTAAACTTATACCTATGAAAAAGGCAAAACAATGAGTCAATTAGTTGATGATCACATAAATCAGAGATTTGTTATCATGAAAAACAATATATAAAAATTGCCTGTCAACAGTTAAATGGTAAAGAAAATATGTGTGTATGTGTGTGTGTGTGTGTGTATACACACACACACAAAATAGTAATAGTCATAAAGAAGAATGAAATCCTCACATTTGCAGAAAAATGGATGAAACTAGAGAATATCATGTTGAGCAAAATAAGACAGACACAGAAGGACAAGTACATTTTCTCTCATATGTGGAAACTCTACAAAAATAAATAACATGAAAGAAGAGGGATCATTTAGGTGTGGGAAAAGAGGATGGACAGGGGCAGGGTAGAAGAAGAGTGGACAGATGTGACGCATCAATCAATGCACAATATTGGCATGTACAGAAATATCACAATGAGTCACATACATTCTGTGATTACCTCATTAATTATAGATAACTGGTTTACATGTTCTCCCCCTAAAAGTCTAGAAAGCATACTTCTTCCTTTTTTTTTTTTTTCTTTGCTTTGTCTTTTGTTCTTTTCTTTGGTAGTACTGGGGACTGAACTCAGGGCCTTGTATGCGTTAGGTGAGTGCTCTACCATTGAGCTACATCCCCAGTCTAGAAGGCATACTTTTGAAAGAGGAGAGGTCAGCGTCTTGTAAGAGATAAATACCGTGGTTGTTTTGGAAAGAGCACCATCTATGAAAGCAGAGGATGTTAAGTCTTTTAGCTATCAATACATTTCTTGTCTTTCAGGAAAATCAGGAAAATGCACAAATATTGTTCTCATTTTCCTCCTCTCTTGACTACTGATTACACAGTTAATTCTACAGAGACAAGAAATTTATTTCGAATCCTTTACTTTTCTCTCTTCCATTTTTGTCCAGTTGCCTCAGAATTTTTTTTTTTTTCCTCTCCATTATTCATTCTGGTGAGGTGTTTTGTTTTTTAATTTTTGGACTGGGAATTGAATCCATGGGGCATTTACCACTGGGGTATATCCTCAGTCCTTTTTATGTATTTATTTTTATTTTGAGACAGGATCTCACTAAGTTGCTTAGAGCCCTGATTTTGGTATCCTCCAGCCTCAGCCTCCAAAGTCTCTGGGATTATAAGTGTCTGCCACCATGCTTGGCTTCATTCTGTTTTAAAGATGAAACACAGAAGGTAGGCAGACCGCGTGTCCTGGAGAAGGGGCCCAGCGGCCAACGGCGTGGTATACAAATCACCCCAATTGGAGGAAGGGCCCAGCCGCCGCCCGCACCTGCACAGTAGGCAGACCTGCAACCTGGAGAACAGGCCCAGCAGCCCGCCGGCGTGGTAGACAGATCACCCCTATTGGAGGAGGGGCCCAGTCGCCGCCTGCGCCTGCAAGGTAGACAGACCTGCGACCTGGAGAACAGGCCCAGCGGCCCGCCGGCACAATAGACAGATCACCCCTATTGGAGGAGGGGCCCAGCCGCGGTAGGCAGACAGCGCGTCCCGGAGAAGAGGCCCAATGGCCCTCCTGGGTGGTAAACATATCACCCCAATTGGAGGAGGGGCCCAGCTGCCGCCTGCGCCTGCACAGTAGGCAGACCTGCGACCTGGAGAACAGGCCCAGTGGCTCGCCTGCATGGTAGACAGACCTCCCCAGTTGGAGGAACCCAGCCTCCTGCCGGTGCGGTAGACAGACCACTCCAACTGGAGGAGGGGCCCTGAGGCCCGCCCATGCGGTCACCTGACCGAGCTCTTGACAAACATCAGGTTTCCCCAACACCCCCACCTCATCAAATACCTTATGAGAAAAGCTGAGGGAACTCATCTTGAAAAATCCCACCAACCCTTAAAACCCACCAACCAGTTGGCTGGCGTGGCTACCAGTGTGGTTCTGCAGCGGATCAGGCACCTGGTTTACATCTCAGAAAATAAGAGTCAAGTCCTCAAGTCCTCTCACACTGACTACCACCACCATCCTGAACCCAGAGACTCAAGCTTGGAATAGACAACGCCACCAACTGGAAGAAATGAAAACAGAGTTCTGAGAGACATTTTTTTTTCTTTTTTTCTTTCTTTTTCTCTCTTCTCTCTCTCTTTTCAGCCATTCACCCAGTCTCCTCTACCCTTCCCCCTCGGGTCTTCACAACTTCAACATATGTGAAACCAAAAATTGTGCACGAAAAAGGTCTTTAACAACTGAATCACCAGAATAATATACTATAGAGGAATTGCATATGCCCCACCTCCCTTCCCCCTTTTTATTTCTTTTCTTTTTTCTCGCATTTTCTTTTTCCCGCTCTCTTTTTTCTCTTCCTTTCCTTGTTATTTGTTTTCCTCCCTCTTACTCCCTCTATCCCACTTGCAACCCCCTAAATTTTACTATTCATAAGTAGGGTAATCTTATAAATACAGATAGGAATTTGAATCTATACATTCTTCCATAAATTACCTATCTATTGGTTAGAGCTCTCCAAAGTTACTAAGTTAGATTAACCCCATACCCTCACTCCTTTCCCCATAAACATAACATCCTACACCTGAAATTCAGTTTTCTTCAAGCTACCAGAAACGGTATGCCTTTCATGAAACTAATGACTATATTTGTAAACGATAATCGAAACCAACATTTGTAGACATAGAGTCTAGCTATAAATGTAGTAATAAGGAAAACGTGTGCTTAGATGATGTACAATTGATATTGAGAACTGTTAACATTGTCTTTCTCCACAAAAGGGAGACTTTGCAACTATACAAGAGCAATATAAATATATAGGGGGAAAATTCAATAACACAACAGTTTCACCAAGCAGAAAGAAACGCGAGCAGTATGAAAAGACAAGGAAAGAAAGGACCACAAGCAATGCAGGTCAACTCAACTTTAGAAGAGGTAATATCTGCAGCAGATGGAATGTCAGATAAAGAATTCAGGATATACATGCTTCAGATGATCTGGAGTCTCAAGGAAGACATTAGAAGGCAAAATCAGACAATGAAAGATCACTTAGACAATGAATTGCATAAACAAATCCAAGAAACAAAAGATCAACTATGCAGGGAGATAGAGGTTATAAAAAACAAACAAACAGAAATCCTAGAAATGCAGGAAGCAATAAACCAAATTAAAAACTCAAATGAGAGTACTACCAGCAGAGTAGAACACTTAGAAGATAGAACATCAGACAATGAAGATAAAGTAGTTCAACTTGAAAAGAACATAGACAGCTCAGCGAGACTGTTAAGAAACCATGAGCAGAACATCCAAGAAATATGGGATAACATAAAGAGACCAAACTTAAGAGTCATTGGGATACAGGAAGGTATAGAGGTCCAAACTAAAGGAATGAGCAATCTGTTCAATGAAATAAGACCAGAAAACTTCCCAGACTTGAAGAATGAGACAGAATCCCAAATCCTAGAAGCCTACAGGACGCCAAATGTGCAAAATCATAAGAGATCCACACCTAGACACATTGTAATGAAGATGCCCAACATAAAGAATAAGGAGAGAATTTTAAAAGCTACAAGAGAAAGGAAGCAGATTACATTTAGGGGTAAACCAATCAGGATAACAGCTGATCTTTCAACACAGACTCTGAAAGCTAGAAGATCCTGGAATAACATATTTCAAACGCTGAAAGAAAATGGGTTCCAACCAAAAATTGTATATCCAGTGAAATTAAGCTTCAGGATGGAAGATGAAATTAAAACCTTCCACGATAAACAAAAGTTAAAAGAATTTGCAGCTAGAAAACCATCTCTTCAATACATCCTTGGCAAAACATTACAGGAAGAGGAAATGGAAAATAACAATGAAAACCAACAGTGAGAGGTAGTACAGTAAAGGGAAAAAATAATCAAAGAGGAAAAACAAACCATGTTAAGTAACATAAATAAACAAATATGGCTGGAAGAACAATCCATATCTCAATAATAACCCTAAATGTTAATGGCTTAAACTCACCAATTAAGAGACACAGGCTAGTAGAATGGATCAGAAAAAAAAGATCCAACAATATGCTGCCTACAGGAGATGCATTTGATAGGAAAAGACATACATAGACTGAAGGTGAAAGGTTGGGAAAAATCATATCACTCATATGGGCTTCGGAAACAAGCAGGAGTGTCCATACTCATATCAAATAAAATAGATTTCAAGCCAAAGTTAATCAAAAGGGATAAAGAGGGACACTACATACTGCTCAAGGGAACCATACACCAACAAGACATAACAATCATAAATATATATGCCCCAAACAATGGTGCAGCTATGTTCATCAAACAAACTCTTCTCAAGTTCAAGAGTCTAATAGACCACCATACAATAATTATGGGAGACTTCAACACACCTCTCTCACCACTGGACAGATCTTCCAAACAAAAGTTGAATAAAGAAACTATAGAACTCAATAATACAATTAATAACCTAGACTTAATTGACATATATAGAATATACCACCCAACATCAAGCAGTTACACTTTTTTCTCAGCAGCACATGGATCCTTCTCAAAAATAGATCATATATTATTCACAGGGCAACTCTTAGACAATATAAAGGAGTAGAGATAATACCATGCATCCTATCTGATCATAATGGAATGAAACTGGAAATCAACAATAAAAGAAGGAAGGAAAAATCATGCATCACTTGGAGAATGAACAATAGGTTACTGAATGATCAATAGGTTATAGAAGACATCAAGGAAGAAATTAAAAAATTCTTAGCGATAAATGAAAACACAGACATAACATATCGGAATCTATGGGACATAATGAAAGCAGTTCTAAGAGGAAAATTCATTGCTTGGAGTTCATCCCTTAAAAAAAGAAAAAAACCAACAAATAAACGATTTCACACTTCATCTCAAAATCCTAGAAAAAGAAGAGCAAAACAACAGCAAAAGAATTAGAAGGCAAGAAATAATTAAAATCAGAGCTGTAATCAATGAAATCGAAACAAAAAAAACAATTGAAAAAATTGACAAAATTAAAAGTTGGTTCTTTGAAAAAATAAATAAGATCGACAGACCCTTAGCCATGCTAATGATGAGAAGAAGAGAGAGAACTCAAATTACTAGCATACGGGATGAAAAAGGCAATATCACAACAGACACTTCAGAAATACAGAAGATAATCAGAAATTATTTTGAATCCTTATACTCCAATAAAATAGAAGATAGTGAAGGCATCGATAAATTTCTTAAGTCATATGATCTGCCCAGATTGAGTCAGGAGGATATAGACACCTAAACAGACCAATATCAATTGAGGAAATAGAAGAAGCCATCAAAAGACTACCAACTAAGAAAAGCCCAGGACCGGATGGGTATACAGCAGAGTTTTACAAAACCTTCAATAGATGAATGGATAAAAAAAATGTGGCATTTATACACAATGGAGTATTACTCTGCATTAAAAAATGACAAAATCATGGAATTTGCTGGGAAATGGATGGCCTAAGAGCAGATTATGCTAAGTGAAGCTAGCCAATCCCTAAAAAACAAATGCCAAATGTCTTCTTTGATATAAGGACAGCAACTAAGAACAGAGTAGGGAGGAAGAGCATGAGAAGAAGATTAACATTAAACAGGGATGAGAGGTGGGAGGGAAAGGGAGAGAGAAGGGAAAATGCATGGAAATGGAAGGAGAACCTCATTGTTATACAAAATTACATACAAGAGGAAGTGAGGGGAAAGGGAAAAAAAACAAGGGGAAGAAATGAATTACAGTAGATGGGGTAGAGAGAGAAGATGGGAGGGGAGGGGAGGGGAGGGGGGATAGTAGAGGATAGGAAAGGTAGCAGAATACAACAGACACTAGTATGGTAATATGTAAAACAGTGGATATGTAACCAATGTGATTCTGCAATCTGTATACGGGGTAAAAATGGGAGTTCATAACCCACTTGAATCAAATGTGTGAAATAGGATATGTCAAGAACTATGTAATGTTTTGAACAATCAACAATAAAAATTAAAAAAAAAAAAAGATGAAACACAAACTTGAGCTTTGTTTATAATTTTTCTTTTAATCTCAACTATTTATGAACTGGGAAAACAGATATAACAGAGATAAATTCAAAGATACAGTCATTTCTCACAAATATCTACATGTCTGAGAATAAGGCCTCAAGGTTTCAATATATATATAAAAACAAAGATATTTGAAAAATCCACTCAGACTGAAATTATTATTTTCAAATTGTAAACTCTGGTAACCCTTCATTTCTGAGAACTATTGTATTTTTTACCTTTTTTCTGCTTTATCAGTTCCTGGTGTGCCAGATTTCTCTCATTTGTTTCATTCTCCAAGGCCTTTTTATACTGCGCTGCTTCTCTAGAAAGAATGTTCAGGTTATCTTCAGCTTGTGTTCTCTCCAGCTCTAAACGATGAATCTTTTCCTGAAGAGTTTTTAAGGCCAAAATAAGAGCTGTTGGAGGGGTGGTAGCAAAAAAAAAAAAAAAAAAAAAAAAAAAGTGTGATGTGTTAAATGGAAGTTTTTGAAGACTTAAAATCACAGTAACATGGAACAAAACAACAAAAAAAATGAGGAGTATATTTTTCGTTAGTGGCCAGAAAAATGTAGAAGTAATGTATATTCTTCATAAAAATAAAAAATGACTAAAACTCTAAAGAGGGATAAATTTTCTATAAAATATCTTATAAAAGCAATAATCAATCATTATATTAGTGATTATTAGGACTGAGAAAGCTAAGAACCACAGTTAAATAAAATGAATATTTTCAAGTGAAAGGATGTTGGGAATTTTAGGAATTTTAAAGGATTTTTCTAGTTTTCAATGTGTTCAGTTTTAGACAAACCACAAACATTTATTATTGCTATGTCCCAGATATATATCAAGAATCAGGATATAAGAAGTAGAATAGATTCTTTTCTGTGGCAGGGGGTATAATCTAATAGTTGACTTCAGGCTTGTAAGACTGTAAGGAGTATACATATACTACTGTGATGTTTTTATTCAGCTGCATTAATATCTTCATGATTCAGATAAATTCAGAGTTACAAAATTTTCAAATACTATTTTATACTTTGTATTCAATTATAACTTTAAAGTATAAAATTAGAGATGAACAGAATGAAAATGTTAAAGTTAACTTTCCTGTGGTTTATATCCAATTAGATGTCTGTTAGAGATTATCATTTAGTTTTTATGAGTGAGATGAATTATATTTATTGCTCTTTATATAGTACCCAGAGCTGAATCAGTGATATAGATTACTGTTTCTTGTGGTTTATTCCACAAAGCTAAACTATTTATTAACAGAAGTCATTATTACAGAATATTAAAAATCAAGTGATAATTAGCATTATATAATTTATGACATAGGGTATGCCTGGAGTCATAAATGTTTTCCTAATTCAATTTTAAGATCCTCCAATTTATATCCAAAAATTATAATATTCATATTTTGCAGTTATTCAGATATGATGTCTTCCAAAAAGATTTTCCATATGCAACTTCTGAATCTAATCTTTGAATAAGACTAATCCCATTTAATTCACTAGCATTCTAATCATCTAGTTTAGAAGGATTCCAAATCTGACCTTTCATTCTTCAAAGAGTATTTTATTGTTTTCTAAATGCTTTTATGATAAACCTGTGTTATACACTCATCTGCTTATATTAATCATCATTTTATAGCTGAAGAAACCAAAATAAAGAGTGTTAAGTTACTTGTTTAGGTTCATAGAAATTTAGCAATAGAATTAACATCGGAAGTTTCATTAAAATTAAATATAAAATCACATTATTTTCTACATAAAAAAGGTAGGTTTTCATGATATATCTTGTACCATCCCTCTAATTTTATATAACATTTTATGTTATCATTACCTTGGCTATTTGGGCTATGAAACATTTTAGGAGAGGTGACTTCTAAGTTCAAAGGGTGGCAATTCTGATTCATCTTGGGTGGCAATTCTGATTCATTTTTGGTGAATGATGAAACAAATACTCTTTCTGGAGGTTTAATATAGCTTCCTATTACACTAGGTATTAATTCTGAATCCATTATCTGTAGAGAATAAAGGTATAGCATCATTGTCTCCTATTTGAAGGATGAAAACATTATACAAAAATTCAGAGAACCCAAATAACATACTCATATACTATGGAGCTGTATCTTCACAAATTTAATTATCACAAATTCAACTATAATAAGCTCAGCAATAACAGAAAGAAAAGTGACTATTTACCATGTAAATAATAAAGACAATTCTGTCTGAATTTCAATAAGCATGTAGTCTGGAGTAAGCAATGTCTGTTTGCCAGTTTCTCAGTTGCTCATAGTCCCATGCCAGTTACAGTCTGAACACCTCTCCACAAAAACTAGAACACTGAAGTTTAAACAGAAAGTGTAATTCTCGCTAGGTGTGGTGGCACATGCCTGTAATCTCAGCCACTTGGGAGGCTGAGGCAGGAGAATTGCAAGTTCAAAGCCAGCCTCAGCAACTTAGTAAGTGAGGCCCTAAGCAACTTAGCAAGACCCTGTCTCTAAATAAAATATTAAAAAACGGGCTGGGGATGTGGCTCAGAGGTAGGTTAAGTGCCCCTGCATTCAATCCCTGGCACCAAAAAAAAAGAAAAGAAAAAAGTACAATTCTAAAAGACAATACATCTTTTTAAAACACAAGCCAAAAATATCCAATTCTCTAATTTTGACAGTTAGATATCAATGTATTAGCTTTCTAAGGAATTTTCAAGGATAATTTTTAATATATGAAAATTTTGAATCTAATCCTTGAGTAAGACACATCTCCTCCACCTTATGCTCTAGAATTCTAATCATTTAGTTTAGAAGGGTTCCAAATCTGAAGAATCTAGAGTAGACTTGATTTATTATGCAAGTTTTTTCCTTTTTTTTGGTAGTGAGTCCTTTTAACCATTTTAAAAGAGAGAACAGCATCTTAGATAAATGCAATGTTCCATGGGAGCATTCGTCTAATTTTCTCAATGAATAGCTTCCTCTGCCATACACTTCCACTCTTGCCACAAGACCTAAGGCAACAGAGCCAACCAACCGTAGACTAAAACCTCTGAAACCATACAGTAAAATAGACTTTTCTGTCTTATGAGTTGATTACTTCAGGTATTTTATCACAGTGGTGGAAAGTTAGCACAACCAAGACATAAGAGTTCAGGAGTTCTCACTGTAATAGAGATCCCAGCTTAACCCTACAATCTTGTTCTGTGTTGGAAACAAGTGCACAAACCCACTAAAAGCTTAATTACATAAAGAGCTGGGTCATCTTGGGAGAAAAACTCACTCTGGAGGAAGATGAAACAAGTATAAAAACCCTGACCCATAATCAAAGCCTTACTTGGTTGAGGACAGAAGTTTTTGTGAGTAGAATATGGTAGCAGTCATTCTAATCTTCTCTGACCTAGTCCCATGAACTCATGTAGGCCCTGATAAAAGAAAGGACTATAAGTAAAAACTGACAAATATTTTATCAATAAAGGGTTTAGGTATTAGTTTCCCTGATTTTTATAAGATGTTATAATCCAGTGTGTGTGTGGCGGGGAGTTGTCTACGACCAATAGCAATTTTGGCACTTGAGGACTGTAGAACATTTGTAGTACTATTAAGAGGGCTGGGGTTGTAGCTCAGTGTAGAGTTCTTGCCTCCCACGTGTGAAGCACTGGGTCTGATCCTCAGCACCACATAAAAATAAAATAAAGGTATTATGTCCATCTACAATTTTAAAAATATTTTTTAAAAAAGAGAGACAGTTGGGGGACGGGGGTCAGGGTGCATACACCTGGAATAGACATATTTACAGACATGTACAAGAGAAATTTCTGAAAACACAAAGAAGTATCCTAAGTCTCAATTTCTGTTTTCAATATCTAATATGGGCCTATCTGCAAGTAATTGAAAAGACCTTAGGAATTCTTGTAAGACATTTTACGTGTCTGCAAGTAGGGTAAAAAAGCTATAAAATGTGGATCTCATTTTTTAAAAAGTTCATTGTTAATGCATTTATTTAATCATTAGTCATATAACTTATTTTAAAATCCAACAATCACTACATAATTTTACACAGACCAGTTTTTTGTAACAAATATACAAGTAAATTAATTCTGTTAAATACAGTGTTTCCCTACTCCTAATACATAGATCCTTTTTCTTCTCATCTCAGAGGAAGAATCTGTCTTTCAAAAATGACTTATGCTTTAAAGTTTTTACTTAAATTCACAGTAAACTTTCCAATGAGTCTGCACATTTTGTGTACATATGTGTGTATGGGCATGTGTGTGTGTTTGTAAAGCTGACACAATTGTTGAAGAAAACACTACTTAACCCTTGTTCATTTGTGTATTCTGATATTCTCTAAAATAATTTGTATTTCCAAATGTCCAAAGATACCACTCTTCTAATCTCTTCTAATTCATTTTAATTTACTAATGGGTTATGACTTGCAGCTGAAAAATCTCTACTCTAGGCAGTTTTCCACCTCTCTTCATCTCCTTCAGTGTTTTGTTTCATTGATGTTCATTCTGTTTGTCACCTTCATGAAGTTAGAGATTATGAAATTTTATGAGATTAAAAATATGCAGTTCTTATTTGTCTTAATGGATCTCATTTTTTGGTCAGCCTGGTTAAGTCTAAGGAAATTCAGGTTATACCTGGAACCATTCTTTTTTGGCGGGGGGAGGAAGGGTACCAAGGATTGAATTCAGGGGTACTCAAATCACTGAACCACACATCCCCAGCCCTATGTTGTATTTTATTTAGAGACGGTCTCACTGAGTTGCTTAGCGCCTTGATTTTTTGTTTCTTTGTTTTGGATACCCAGGGAGACTGGCTTTTAACTTGTGATCCTCCTGCCTCAGCCTCCCGAGTTTCTGGGACTACCTACAGGCGTGAGCCACCGTGCCCGGCTTGGAATCATTCTTGATAGCTTGTGAACAACCATGGAAATATAGTTGAAATAATAAATTCTCAAAAGATTATCAATAAGTTAAAAAATAAACTAAAATTTAATTAAAATGTATAAATACATATCAACATGGGTATAAGCAGAGTAACAACCCTTATCTTTATGATCTATAAAATAAACCTTAATTGGCTGCTACTCCATAAAGAAACTATCCTTAAAGAATTTTCTACGTGCAAATATCTTATCAAAGTATTTTCTCTTGTTTTGGAGGAAAATAACTATTCCAAGAATTTTTGGTTTTTTTAAAACAACTAATGTCTATTCCAGCTGTGCTGTGCCATCATCTTTGCATAATTCCATAGGACTGTTAGGGACATGACATAATGAGGAAGTCAGAGATACTACAATGGATTCTTAAAGTGGAGAAATCACTGTTTCTGTACTGTTAATTATTCCATTTGGGTTTTTCCTCAGAGGAATTAGAGAAATACCAACAGCTTTGTTTCTTTCATCTTTTTTTTCCCCTTTGTTTATGTATTTATATTAACTTACCTTTAGCTCTTCCTTTACAAGCAAACACAGCAAAGGTTGGGCTAACCTTATTTTATTTTTCAATGTGTAAGTACTTTAAAAAGTACATTACAATTGAGTAGGATAATTTATGGTTGAGAAACTTCTCTTATAGATGCCCTATAATAATATGACCTATTATTTTTATATCACTAACTAACCTAAATGTTTAGATAGTGATATAAAAATGAACTGATTACTGGAAACTAGTAAACATAAAAAATAAACATTTCAAAATATTTCAATTGGATGAAACAAATAATTCATTTTTTGATAATTAAGTAAGTTAGAAAATTTGGAAAAAAAATTGAGTTAAGCCTTTATCTCACTCCATTCATTAATAAACTTCAGCTATAAGTAAAAAACTAAAACTTAAAATTATTTTTAAAAAATCATTGAACAGTTAATGTTACAATGGGTAAGATGTTTTATGATGAGAAGGAGGGGGAAATATAAAATACATATACATATACAAGCTACACTAAAATTAATAACAAAACATAAAAATTATAAATAAAATTGAAAGGAAAAAGACAAGTAAATATTTGCAATGAAGGACAAAGGGTTAATATCATTAATATAAAGTTTTTACCATGAATCAGGAGTATTAAAATCATTAAAAGTGACCAATGATTATAAACCATTAGTTCATAGTAGAAAGTAACAACACAAAAAATTCTTAGTAATAATCAACAAAAATCAGATTCAGAAGTAAAGTCTTGCTTGGCATGGTGGCATATACCTGTGAAGCTAGCTATTTGGGAAGCTGAGGCTAGAAATGACAAGATTGAGGCTCATCTGGGCAATTTAGCAAGACTGTTTCAAAATGAATAAAACAAAATGTCTGAGGATGTAGCATGTATAAGGCCCCTAGGTTCAATCCCCAGTTCCCTAAATAAAAAAAAAAAAAAAAAAAAAAAAAAAGTAAAGCCTCTGGAGTTGGATCTCAGTTCCAATTTTGGATCTGCCACTTACTATCCAACATTAAAGAAAACCTTTCTACTTCTCTGGGTCTCAATTTTTTCTATTTATAATTAGGACAGTAATATAAATATAGTAATTTATATAAAGCATTTCACACAATTTATGTCTGCAAGTATGTACTTTATATAATAAGCAAACTATGCACTTGATAAAAGGTAGTCATATTTACTTTAAAAGAAAACAAGGAGGAGGCAAGAAGATTCCAAGTTCAAGGCCAGCCTGGGCAACTTACTGAGACCACATCTCAAAATAAAAAATATGGGGCTGTGGAACTGGGTGCGGTGTTGCTTGTCTATAATTCCAGTGGCTCCAGAGGCTGAGACAGGAGTTCAAAGCCAGCCTCAGAAATGGAGAGGCACTAAGCAACTCACTGAGGCCTATCTTTAAATAAAATACAAAACAGGGCTGGGGATGTGGCTCAGTAGTCAAGTGCCCCTGAGTTCAATCCCCAGTACCAAAATAAATAAGGGTTGTGGATATAGCTCAGTAGTGGAGCACTTGCCTACATATATAAAGCCCTGGTTCAATCCCTAGTGAAGGAAGGAAGGAAGGAAGGAAGGAGGGAGGGAGGGAGGGAAGAAGGAAAGAAAAGAAAGAAGTAGGGGAAAGAAGTGGGGGAGAGTAAGAGAAAAGGAAAGGGAGATTGAGAGGGAGGGAGGGAGGGAAGGAGGAAGGAAGGAAGGAAAACAAGAAAATGTCATGCTTTACCTTTCAAATAAAGCAAAGTTCTTTTAAGGGACAACATTAAATGTTGGCAAGAAAGCTGGGATACACTGCTGATAGGAATATAAGTTAATATCACTTTTCTGCAAAACAATTGAACACTATACATTAAAAGTCTCAAAAATTATTATAGGAATCGATACTAAAAAAAGGCAAAGATATACACAAAGATTATTATAAAGATCACCATTCCAGCATTATTTATAATATCAAATGTTGTCTTTGATGTCTCTTTCTCACATTCCATGTTGAATTTTTCTAAATGGCTTTAAACATTTTAAACACACTTTTTTTTAAGTTTTAAACACACTTTTTTAAAAAAGAAAAATTTCTCCATTTGATAATTGTAGAAATCAGTCTTTGTAGTTTGTGGATTCTGCTGATGATGCTTGTCTAACAGTGGCTGGTTAATTTATCTTTAGTGATTTCTAATTTTTTAAATTTTTTTTCTGGTACTGGGGACTGAACTCAAGGTCTTGCACATGCTAGGTAAGTTCTCCACCACTGGGCTACTTTGAAAGGCCAGCCCTTTCAAAGAATTTTATTTTGAGGGGCTGGGGCTGAGGCTCAGTGGCAGAGCGCTTGCCTGGCAAACATGAGGCCCTGGGTTCTATCCTCAGCACCACATAAAAATAAAATAAAGGTATTAAAAACATCCAAAATCTATTTTTAAAAAAGTGATCAGCACTTTAAAAAAAAAAAAAAAAGAAGAAGAAGAAGACATATTCCCAGGAAATTGCCCAGGCTGGCCTAAACCTGCAATCCTCCTGTCTCAGCTTTCCAGGTAGCTGGGGCTAGAACTGGGATTACAGGTATACATACCTGGCTGTGATTTCTTATTTTAAGCTTACATTTCTTTGAAAGATTCTTTTTGTCTACCACAGCCAAAGCCAAAGATGAGATAGAGTGTCTTTGTGGGTGTTTTCTGCACCCCCCTCCCTTGGATTGAACCCAGGAGGTGCTGTACCATTGAGCTATATGACCAGCCCTTTTCATTTTTATTTTTTTATTTTGAGAAAGGGTCTCACTAAATTGCCTCACTAATTGAACTGGATTCAAACCTGTGATCCTCATTCCTCAGCTTCCCAAGTCACTGGGATCACAAGTGTGCCTTATTGTGCCTAGCATGATTATCTTTAATGACAATCTAAAAGATTTTTAAACAGCCACCTCCCTCTTGTTTAAAAATAGAATCTTTTTCATTTGGGTCTCTTTTATGATATTTTTCCATGATAAGATTCATATTATGTATCAGAATATATACTGTCTCCTCAGGTTTCATATCCAGAGGCACATGATCTATATCTACTAATTTTCATAGGTGATATCAATTTTAACCACCTTTAATTATTCAATTTTTATTTATATTTCCTTGCATCTTATAAGCAATCTATGGGAGAGACATTTATACCATGAAAATATCATACTTACCAAATTTTTGCTTCCTGGATTTATTATTTATTGATGCTTCTTGCCAAAAACCAGTCTTTACAATGATGATTGCAGAATGATGGCTTTTCAAATCCAGCAAGAGCTATTTTTAGAGTTAATGATAAATTGTTTTTTGATAAATTTGAATCAAAAGATCAGCATATTAAATATAATATTTGTTGCTACTATTAATGCATTTTACATGATAGTCACTGAAATGTTATAAACTGCTTCTGAATTTCTGGAATTTAACTGTTATTGGGGGTAGTTCCATGAAGTTATCATATTTTTAAAAGTTGGGTTATAGTATACTTTAGAATGTGAATTATGTTCTGACACCTTTTCTTATTCTGAATCTACAGGTTGTTTTATTTTTATTTTAAATTTTATTTAATTATTCCATATACACTTAATTAAGTATATATTAAATCATATATACTTAATGACAGCAGAATGCATTTTGATTCATTGTACACAAATGGAGCATAACTTTTCATTTCTCTAATTCTACACAATGTAGCACTGCACCATATGTGAAGTCATACAGGTACCTAGGGTAATGATGTCCATCTCATTCCACCATCTTTCCTACCCCCATGCCCCCTCTTCTCCCTCCCCTTTGCCTACAGTTTCTCCATTCTTCCCATGCCCCCCCCCATATTGTTTATTATACTCTACTATTACCTAAGTCCTGCTAATAAACCCTCTATTTAAAGAATGACTAATCAGATAATATTCACGTAATTGAGATTGAAGAACAAATTTTACAGTATGGACTAGATTTGAAAATTGTAGCTAAACTGGAAAGGTATAGACTACTTTTCCTTTTTGAAGAATAAATATAAATGTGTGTGCAACTAAAAATGATTTGTGTGGAACAATCCCTAAAAAATGTCTAAAGCTACTGCAGTATATTATTTCAAGCAATATGGTAGATAAGATGTTCAAAGAAATTTCTCCTGGAGATGACACACACACACACACACACACACACACACACACACACACACACATATATAATCCTAGGTACTCAGGAGACCAAAGTAAGAAGAGTTTACATTTAAGGCCAGCTGGAACAACTTAGTGAAGACACTGTCTCAAAAATTTAAAATTTCAGAAAAAGGGCTGAGGATGTAGCTCAGTGGTACAGTACCCCTGCCCCGGATTCAATCCAGGATACCTCACATAAAAATAAAATAAAGGTATTTTATCAATCTATAACTTAAAAAAAAAAAAAAAACAGATTAAAAAAAGATATTTCTTTGTACACCTAGTTATTTGTTCACAGCAGCACTATTCATAATAGCCAAATGTGGAAGTAATCTGGATGAATATACAAAATGAGGTATACTGTATTGATATAGTAGAATATTAGCCTTAAAAAGGAAGCAAATTCTTGCTGGGTGCAGTGCCGCATGACTTTACTCCCAGAGACTCAGGAATTGAGGCAGAAGGGCTGCAAGTTCAAGGTTAGCCTGGGCAACTAAGCAAGATCCTATCTCAAAATAAAAATAAAAAGGGCTTGAGGATGTAGTTCAGTGGTAGAGCACCCCTGGATTCAGTCTCCAGTACTGAAAAAAAAAAGGGTGGGGGGAGGAGGAGCAAATTCTGACACATGCTACAATGAAGAATGCTAGGTTTTCAATTTTACCAGAGAGAAAAGTTCTGAATATTGGATGCATAACATTATATAGTAGGGGAGACAAACATGTTAAAAACAAACAGGATTCAATGGGTTCACTCTCATGAAAAAAGCTGTACCATAGGAGCACAAAGGGGAGATTATCTAACTCTCCCTGACTGATGGAGAAACAAGTAAAGCCAGAAACAGTTTTGAAGGAGTTTAAGTAAATATGGCAGAGTGAACACACATATGACTTTTGCTTTCTTGGAAAGTCACTAAAATAATATTAAAACATTTTTAAAAGAAAGAAATAAACATGCAAAGACAGAAATCAGGATAGGTGATAATAATGAAACTTGGGAAAACAAAAAGCAGATGCATGAGTAGTAGTAGTAACAGGATCAGCCAATGCAAAATGGCCCTGGAATTAGCCACAACTCTGTAAGAGGTATTTATGATAAGGCTGAATGTTGAGAGCCACAGCCAAGTCTGGCATTTTGCCTGAAGGAGTGGTTGAGAGGTGACACCAGGGAGCCATTAAGATGATGATAATTAAGTTAAGCTGTGTATAATTGCTGTGACTGGATGATGCTGGATTGAAACAGGCTGTGTGTTCAGTTGCATATAGACCCCTGCTGTCCAGCAATAGGGCGGCTCCTGCTGCCTTGGGCGCCTGCTACTTTTGAGTTCTCCAGGAGCTCCATTGAGGGCTGGGAGAGTTGGGGGCGGGGTGGGGGGGGGTGGGAGTGCAAGTGGAGTGCCGGTGAGAGTTTGGGCAATAAAGTAGTTCCTGTTTGAACCTACAAGTGCCTCGTGGCGGCTAGGTTATTTTGTGCCCAGCCAGACTGCTGCAGCTGAAAACTAGTGTTCAGATTGAAAGTTTAACTTAAAAATAAATAATATGCTTAAATTCCCTCTGCCTCTCCATGCAGCCAAGAGTGCTATACCCTCATCTGGAAAGAGTGGAAGTTTTGTTTTGTTTCTTTTGTTTGAAAAGGAAATCATAGAGTATCTCTAGATTGGGGGACCACTGGTGAAGCCAGAATTAGACAGGCAGTCAGTGTAGATACATAAATTAAGTCAGGTCAGATCAAGGAGGCCAATTTTGAGTGAGTCTGGGAAGTTGGAGACTGTCCCCTGAGGGATCTTATCAAGAACCTGCTCCCACCCCACCTCCATCCCTTTGCAAAGGTAACCAGTCCCAGGAATTTCCCCTCCCTACAGGGAGCTATAAAGTTGTTAATGTGTCCTTGTCTACTCCACCCTGCCCTTCCCCCTTCAGTCCACTCTTTCCTACCTTTTGGCCACCCCACTGAGCATTCCTGGGCCTAGTCTGTAAGCAGGAAGGAGAAAGGGGGAAAAGACAGGAGAACAAAGGAAGCCTAGGACATAAAAAGGGCAGAACACCTTGCCTCTTGGGATACCATGTTACCAGCTATGGCCCCCTTCTCCCTCGCAGGAGAAGTCTATGTTACCCATTTTTATTAAACCCTCCTTCATATGCTTGCCTTGGCATGCTTCTCTAATGTTCAAACTTCAACATGTGGGAAGCAGGACCAATAACCGGAGTCATCACTGGCACAGCTGAGGGTGGGGCACAGGAGTGAAAGAAGGAAAAAACTTGAGACTGAGAGGGAACAGAATGGAATAAAATGGTAGATAAACTCCCATGGTCTTACTTCATAATACATTACAAAAAGTCTTTCTTGCTCTCCCACTCTTACAATGTATAAAATGTGCCTTTTTTTATTTTTTACTCTCCTATTCTTTTTTATTTTGCAGTACTGGGGATTGAACCTGGGCCACTCTACCACTGAGTTACAAACAAACCTCCCCATCCAGCTTTTTTTTTTTTTAATTTTGAGACTTGGTCTCATTAAGTTGCTCAGGCTGATATGGAACTTGCAATCCTCCTCTCAGTCTCCCAAATCAATGGAATTACAGGTATACACTACCATGCCAGAGCCCCTCCTATTCTTTTTTTTTTTTTTGGTACTGGGGATTGAACTCAGGGGCCACATCCCCAGAACTATTTTGTATTTTATTTAGAGACAAGGTCTCACTGAGTTGCTTAGTGTCTCACCATTCCTGAGGCTGGCTTTGAACTTGGAATCCTCCTGTCTCAGCCTCTGAAGCCACCTGGATTACAGGTATATGCCACTGTGCCCAAGAGAGCACCTCTTATTCTTAATCAACCATAAAAAGCTTGGTGTAGGACAGCAACCAGGAGCTAACATAAACTCTAGGGTCTTAAATCATAATTTGTTATTTGCTAAAATTATTTCACTCTTGAATCATAATTCATAATCCTTACCCTCAAAAAGTCTTCTCCCACTCCCCTCACTCTGACAATATAAGAGATGTATCTTTTCTTACCCTCCTAATCAAATCAGCCATAAACACCAGGTGTAGGGAGAAGTCAAAAAATAATACGTGAACTACTTCTGCAAGTAGCATTATCATAAAAAGAATTATCATAAAAGCATTATCATAAAAATTCCAGAGTTTTCTGCCCCAAACACTCAATAAATAGTCTGGGCCTTTTTTTTGGGAGGGGGTTCAGGGCAGTTTTGACTATTCCCAATCAGGTCTATTCCCTTCACCTTGAGGTGAAACCTTCTTCCCCTTTCTCTTCCCAGATTAAAGTTTTGCCTATATATTTGTTTGTACTCACTTGACTCAGATTCTGTTTCTACCCTCACTAAGTCAAAAGTTCTGTCTGCAGTATCAGATTAATGTTGGTAGTCTATATAATTAAGAAGAGATGAGGATTATCTTTATTTAGGAAACATAAATAGCTCAAGATACTAAAGATGATAAAATAGTTGATGGATTTGGAGTTTGCATTTAAGTTTTTTGGTGTCCCACCCTTAAATATGTGGTTTAATGATTATTTAACAAGCCTTACTGGACGGTAAAGAAAGATATGAAAGACAGAAACCAAAATAAATAATAAAAGGTTTAATAGGAACACAAAATTTGGAAATACATAATTAGTGGAGATAGAATATGTAATCACTGAGGACCATGGGTAAATCTGACTGGAGCAATGAATAAATATTGGTAGTAAGAGGCTGGAAAAGATAGTCAAGTACTTTGTACATCTACTAAGGAGTTTATATTTTATCTGAATAGGCCATGGGAAGATAATGAAGGACATTAGGGAAATACGATCAGGTCTGCATTTTGACAAGTGTATTATGATCAGTTTGAGGTGGACAGATTGAAAGAAAAAGAAATTATAGGCCAAAGAAAAAGGCTACTGAGGGGCTGGGATGGTGGCTTAATGGTAGAGCGCTCGCCTAGCATGCATGAGGCACTGGGTTCATCCTCAGCACCACATAAAAAAAAAACCCAAAAAACAAAATAATGTGTCCACCTAAAATAAAGATACATAAATATATATATATATATATATATATATATATTTTAAAAA